AGTTATTATAAGCAAGCATATTAACCCTTGGGGTCTCAGTTCCTTCTTCTATAAATGAAGAAATTAACAAGAAATAATTGATTCTCTAAGAATTCCTTCACAATTCAAAGTTAATGATTTTAAGAACTCACTTTTATTAGTATAAATATGAATCTTTTGTAGCATTCTCATTTATGTTTGACAAAACTTTAAAAATTTTTGTTGACCTCAATTTTATGTCACAGTGCAGTATTATGTAAGTTAGATGCTAAAAGTAATATATTTTCTTAATGAAAGCCAAGTTTTTAAAAAGAAATTAAGCTGTCATCTAAAGCAAACAGAATTTGGGGATATCACAAGTATTTACTTATGTAGACTCAGAAAATAAGAATAATTTTAAGCAATTCATATAGATTTTTCAGTAGGGCTGACTATACATTTTTTTGTTAATAGTAATTTTTGTCATTTAAAATGAGAGTACACGTAGCAATAGTTTAACTTTATTTTTATATTATTCTTAGAATTTTTCATAGAAATAAATACATTTTTTTCTTTTCTTCAGTAAATTGGTAATTAACCAGATTATTCCTGAAGATGATGCTATTTATCAGTGCATGGCTGAGAACAGCCAAGGATCTATTTTATCTAGAGCCCGATTGACCGTAGTAATGTCAGAAGACCGTCCCAGTGCTCCCTATAATGTGCACGCTGAAACCATGTCAAGTTCAGCCATCCTTTTAGCTTGGGAGAGGCCACTTTATAATTCAGACAAAGTCATCGCTTATTCTGTGCACTACATGAAAGCAGAAGGTAAGCAATTAGAGGAGTGTCTATCTTTGAGTTCCACTTGCACTCATGGATTTGTTTTCAGTCTGAATGATGTCTTACATCATCCACATAATATTTATTTTTCATATACTACTTTTGAAGTTTTATGGCAATTGTCTCTAGTCTGTCAGGTGTATATTTTTTTCTAAATTTTGTAGTATTATATACTTTGTGTATATAAGTATAGCTTAAGATATTTTTATTTATAAGTCAAGTACCATCTCTGCCAGGGAAAATATAGAGTGGTGTGTTTATGGATTTCATTTCAGCAAATATATAAATTTCTTAACTAAGACTTCGTATGCCAACTTAAGTATGCAGTTACATAGGACCAATGGTGTGACTGCTTAATAAAATCATGTAGTAAAATATAGTCACTATGTCATGTTCTTTTTAAAGGGGAAAGTAAACATTATCGAATTCCCCATATATTTGGTTTTATAGATTTTGAATGTTTTCTGAAATTATATAGAACTCTCTGAAAATTGGATAACACATTATTGATATTTTATTATATAAAAGTAGAAATCAGATCTATCTTCAGATTTTTATTTTGAACTATTCAATTTTTATCCTTATTGTTTCTTTTGGCAAAAATTTTAGAGGAAAAGGAAAAACTGCTTACCAGTCCTAGAGATTTCTCTATTTTCCTATATTTCTCTATCGATTTTTTTCATAGAAAACAGAAGTTTACAGATTTTAGTTTTATATATAAACAGCCTAACTTTTATGCAATAGATATTAAAAACAAATCCAAATACCCAGTGAATGGTGATGTAATAAAATTGTCTGTAGAAACAGGTGGTTTGTTGTTTGTTTTTTTGTACTTTGAAGTAGTATTTTGAAAAAGAATATTTTGAATTTAAATCAGGGGTCATGGTAGCAAGAAGAATGAAAGTCTGATAGCTGAGCTTGTTGTAGTATGTTAATTCCCTTTTCAGTGATTTAGGAAGGTAAAAGGAATGCTGGTTTTGGTGGAGACCACTCTTGTTCGCTATTATGGTTCTTTCATTAGAGCCTCCACATGTAGCTCAGTGGTCTATTCAAGGATAGAACAAGGCTTTTTAATTCGAACTCAAGGACCTTGTTTGCTAGGTCAGAAATCGTACTATGCAGCTCCTAATTAACGAGACATTAGGCAGTCTGTTGTGAAATGCCTGTAATCTTGTCTAATTAAAATGCTATCAAGTTCATTCAGAAATGTGGGAAAACTTAATAGTGGAATTTGCCTTCTGTTTTGTTTATAAATCCAGTGTGGAAAGAAGGGGCCCTGTCCTTAGAGAGTTTTGATTAAGTTGACATCCGTTTACCGTGAATTATTCACAAAGCACAGTCGTGACCAGGGCTCTTGTTCCACTTTACAGGTTTGCTCTGTAGGAATTAAATCCGACAAAGACAAATCCTCTTCCCTACCTTGCCATGCATATTTTATTAAGAATGGCTAAGGATTTTTTTCCTCTTAAGAAAAGAAAAAAGCTCATTGTGAAACAAAGCGTTCTGAAGCACATTCTGTGCTTCCCGGTTCTTTTGCTTCCAATATAAATAGAAGAACAACGTGTGTCAGTCAAATTTAATAGAATCTCTAGGGGCAAAATGAGATCTTTTGCAGGACAACTTTTGGTTTGGTTTGTTTTTATAAAGAGTAGAGACATTACATTCCCTACTGTCTGTCCATTTATGTTTAAAATAAAAAAGAAGCCCTGGGTTCAAGCAAGTAAAATTTAACCTTATGAGTGACAGTATTCTGCAGTGTGAAGCTTTGTGTGTTCCTGCCACACGTTGTCTCTGCTGTGGGTTTTGACTTAATGGAGTTTAGAGAAGGTTAATTATTTCCAGTTTGATTTATTCAGAAAAATGCAAACTAGTCATTTGTAGCAAGACAAATGAAATTACTTTTAGAAAATAAAGACCTTCCTATTCACGTTTTTTTTTAAAGGGTATCAGAAGATAACTGAGAGAGATTAGACTCAAGGCCTAGTGTTTTACAGTGCGGGAAAATGGTCTTGTTAATTTTATTTTGAATATTCTTAATTTTTAAACACTGATTCTTTAATGTAGGTTTAAATAATGAAGAGTATCAAGTCGTCATCGGAAATGACACAACTCATTATATTATCGATGACTTAGAACCTGCCAGCAATTATACGTTCTACATTGTGGCATATATGCCAATGGGAGCCAGCCAGATGTCTGACCACGTGACACAGAACACTTTAGAGGATGGTAAGAAAACGTGATCCCAGGTCATTTAAGTATGAACATTAGGATGTTTAATCAATTAAAAAAATAAATATGTTTTAAAATAGAGAAAATATCTTCTTGTTGATTAAGAAAAACAGATGTGGTAATCCGAAGGCTAATTTGCTATTTCATATCTGATTTTCACTGTTGGGCAGGAACATGATAACAATAAAGAAAACTTTATAATTCGTAATATAAGTTTAATAAAAATTCTAGTTTTGTCATTGTATTTCTTCAAGGTCTTTAGTTTAAATTGTAAATATATAGCAGTTTTTATTTTTTTTAACTTTATATTTTACTGAGTATATTCTCTAGACATGAATAAATATAAGGGCAGTTACATACTGAGTGTACATAATGACTGAAGGTCAGAGGTATTAGACTTCTGAAACTGGGAGTTTATGAAATTTAATACCTATCAGTTAAAAAAATTATAAAATCAGATTTTTATTTTTAGATATAATATGGTTATTCTACTTAAGGAGGAAAGTAATACTAGCTCAGTTTGTCACCTGATTATGGTTGGAAAGCGAGTTGTGGCAGACCTTCATACAGTCTTACAGTGGAGGAAGTTCATTTTATTAAGACAGTAGCAGGGAACTATGTCTCTTTCTCCAGAGCCTAGAAGGCCCATGTTTATACCTTGCAGTGTGAAAAGGAAATTATTTGAAATATGCTTAATTATACTGTTCTCCCTTTATATATGTTTTCTCATCCTGAATAAATGATCCATTCTTAGTTTTCAAAAACATTTTTAGAGAAATGATTTCCAAATCTTTTTGTTATTGTTCATTTGGTCCCATATCTTTTACTTATATCTTTATAATGCCACGTATTTAGATTCTTATAAATTCAGAGATTGACTAAATGAAAAAGTTATCACTGATCTAAATACTGAATTCAATTTGTTTCATTTTGGAGTGAGGCACAGTACATATGACCTCTCTAGTTATCTCCTTACATTTAACTGCCTCTTAACATGCGTGTCTAAAGTGAAACACAGGCTAGTGTTTTTTTGTTTTGCTTTTGGGGTGTTTTTTGGGGGAGGGGTGTATGAGGCATACCCTTCATATCCTTGAAGAAAATGAATCTAAGCATGCCCCACCTGGTTTGGCTCAGTGCATAGGGCTTCGACCTGCAGGCTGAAGGGTCCCAGGACACTTACCAGGGTTGCAGGCTCCTCCCCGGCCTGGGCCCTAGTCAGGGCGTGTGCTTGAGGCAACAATCAATGTGTTTCTCTCACATTGATATTTCTCTCTTATTCCTCTCTCTTCCACTCTCTCTCTCAAAAAAAAATCAATGGAAAAATATCCTCAGGTGAGGATTAAAAAAAGAAAGAAAATTAGTCTAAGTATAGCAACAACTTGTTAAAGCTTGCCAATTCCAGTTAAGTTATGATCTCAAAGTTTTTCTCCTTTAAATCTTTCCTTACTCTGCGACTTTTAAATTTAATGTTTGATTTTGTGTTGTGGACGACATACAGACCTCTGACACTGCTTTTCAGATTTCTGCAAGAGTCTCTCCTATATTCTAAGCTCCTACTTCTCAGACGCAGATGTGCGTGTCTCCTGGAGTGCACAGCAGTGCACAGCCAGTACAACTAACACATGTGGAGTGCTTATCCCTGCCTATTCTGTAAACCTTTCCTTCACTGTCTTGTTTAATCCCTACAGAAGTCTATGATAGAACTATTGTTATGTGAGCTTGTAGAGTATAGGGGATAAGAATGTGTGCTCTGTTCCTTCTCTTACAAGCTTGTGACCTTGGGCAAGTGATTTGACCTCTTTGTATCACAGTTTCCTCAACTGTAGAGTAGAAATGGTAATGTTACTTTTTTCAGTGAGTTTTTGTGAACATTTTTTTGTTCCTACACATAAAGGAATGCTTAGTAAATTGATTTTCCCTTTTCTACCTATTAGTGCATCATTTATCCTACAAATGTTTATTGAGTACCTGTGATGTGTTATGTAACATGTAGTGGTGAACAAAAAGCAAGAAAAAACTGTCCTTAAACTTAAGAAGCTTACTTCCTAGTGGGAGAGAGGGTAGAAGAACAATAAACATGATAAATAGTCATGTTAGATAGTGCTAAGTGTTGTGGAGAAGGAAAAAAGCAACAAGGAAAGGAAGTATAAAATGTTGAGAGGGTTTGAGACTTTGGACAGTCACCAAAGAAGGGGCTCACTGAGTAGGTGACATTTGAATGAAGACCTGAAGGAAATGAACATGAGTGAGCTGGCTAGGCGGATGACTGGGAAGTGCATTCTAGGCAGAGGAAATGGAAATTGCTAAGGGCCTGAAACACAAGTGTAGAAAGCGGTGGGAGATGAGGCAGAGAATTAATGGGAGTTGACCATGTAAGCAGATACGGTACAAAGAGGACCTTGGCTTTGAGTAAAATGGGAGCTGTTTTAAGCAGAAGAGTGACAGCATCTAACTTGCATTTTAACAGCTAATGTGTTGAGAACAGGTAGTAGGAACAAGGGCAGAAGCAGGGAAATCTGTTAGGAGGCTGTTGCAACAATACAGGCTAAAGGTGATGGTGATGGGGACCAAGAGGGTGGCAGTGGAAATCGCCGAGCCACAGGATTGAATGTGGACATGTGTTTGGAAGAGTCAGGGATGACACCGAGGTTTTTGGCTTGAGTTAGACAAATAATTGCCATTAACTGAGATTGGAAAGACTGTAAAATGAGCTATTATCATCCTCATTTTATATTTGAAGAAACACAGAGAAGTTAATTGGCCACCATCACACAGAGTAGTAAGTGATAGAATGAGGATTCAGACACACAAGCTATGCTTGGTCCTTTCTCACTATTTTTCCTTTTTTTTTTTCCCTCCTGATTTGTACTCTGAAAACCTGTGCTAGGGCTGAAGGCATCTCTTCTTTATTATATGTTGCTGTTAAGAGAACTCAGTTATTACTGGTGTGCTGATTGACAGTTTTTATTCTAAATATTTATAAGCAACCTGTTTTCTTACATGACTAGTTCCCCTGAGACCTCCTGAAATCAGTTTGACAAGTCGAAGTCCCACTGATATTCTCATCTCCTGGCTGCCCATCCCAGCCAAGTATCGGAGGGGCCAAGTGGTGCTCTATCATCTGTCCTTCCGCCTAAGCACTGAGAGCTCCATCCAAGTTCTGGAGCTCCCGGGGACCACGCATGAGTACCTTTTGAAAGGCCTGAAACCTGATAGTATCTACCTAGTGCGGATTACTGCTGCCACCAGAGTGGGGCTGGGAGAGTCATCGGTATGGACTTCACATAGGACACCCAAAGCTACAAGTGTGCAAGGTAAATCTCTAAAGGTGATTGAGGAAGAATAACTGTATTTATTCCTTGGAATCAATATTTTCTTATTTAAGTTATGTTCATATTTTTAAATTTTGTTTTATGAATAATAGTATCCTATAAATCATGGACTTAATTGAAAAAGATTTAAACTTTTTATTGAGTAGTCCCTTTTTGCATAGAACTCATTAGTGTGTAAAACTTTTGGTTACAATATTTGTTTGCTCAGCAAATCTTTCATGGACAGATCAGTCCAAATCAAACTGAATTACCAAAATTATATATTACACACACACACACACACACACACACACACACGTATAAATAGAGAGCTAATTAATATTATTGCCATATGTTTTTTAAAATGTCAGTTTAATAGAAACACCGTAAGACTAGGAAATTCTATACCTTCTTCTTTTACTAATGTGGAATGTAACCTGACTGGTTTTGTTGGTGTTAATTGATTAATAGTAATGCCTGTTCTATCACAGAGGAATATTGGATGGTCAGAATTAAAAAGTACTTGTTGTCTCTTTAAAAAATACACAAATATAGATATTATTTTGTTCTTATTTATATGCCTTAGTCTTTTAGATAGTATTTTATGTATTTAGTTCTGTCTCAAACTTTAATATCATTGTGAAATTTTGTTATAGTACAGTTGATTTGAATATTTTGCAGCCATTGGCTTGCCATCTGAAATCTCTACTTTCCTGGTTTTTCACTTAAATTATGTGGTTTTTTCATACATAACATTTCTGGTGAATTTTTCTAGCCCCTAAGTCTCCAGAGTTACATTTGGAGCCTTTGAACTGCACCACCATTTCTGTGAAGTGGCAGCAGGATGCTGAGGACACGGCTGCCATCCAGGGCTACAAGCTGTACTACAAAGAGGAAGGGCAGCAGGAGAACGGACCCATCCTCTTAGACACCGGTGACCTTCTGTATACACTCAGTGGCTTAGGTGAGTGAGTCTCTACTGCGCTTTTCCTCTTTTCCTTACTCTCTAACCAACTGGAAGGAAAGTGATTGGGTATAAGCCAGCAGAACTGACTTAATGGTAAAAAGGAAAAAGAACTGACTTTACTCCATCACTGTGGTGTCCTCCTGCTTAAGTCAGTGACTGGTTTTTGACCCACCATTGTGGGTGAACTGACAAGTTGTCAGGTAACCGTGGTATCTTTCTATCTGCTTTTCTTTCTGAAGTTCAGTTCTGGTAGAGTGGGATCCTGGTTAGTTAAATTGTGGGTGTGTGGTGGATGTAAATTATCAATGTAAAATAGGAATATTTCCAAAGGATCAGAGAATACACAATTGAGTATAACAGAAATTGCTCGAAAGTACTATGTAGGTGTATTGTTTTACATGTATAAAATATATGTAAGTTATGTACAAAATAATGCTCATATGTGACCTATGTATATATGAATGTTTACTTTATGTAGCTCTAACCCAGACACACTAGAGAAAAAGCGTTTAACTTTGTGAATGCGTTCAGCAGGGTTCTGAACGATGCTGCTTTATTCCCCATTCATCTTATCTTTGCTAAGAGCAAGAATCTCATGATATATAACATGTTTAGTAGAAAGGAAAGAAATGTTTGTCTACAATAAATATGAGGTATAAACTGATATCTACTCAAGATATAAAATGCACACTTAGCTATTTGTTGCTCATGAGTGGATTTTTCACCCTTAAGTACAAAGGGGCAACTCCAGTTACGATTACCAAGCAAATTCCTACTGAATTGTTACAGCGCCTTCTGCACATATTGGACTTTACAGTGCACACTGGCTTTCCCTGTCACAGACCGCCCTTTGGGTGCAGGAAGGAAGAGGCACAATGGCCCCAAATGGGCTGCCCCACATCCGTCCCCGGCCTCCTGGTAGCACAAACCGTGAGAGCAGCATTAGACACGCTCCCCTGTGCAGTAGGAAGCAGTGGTAGGGGTCTGCTTTCAGACGCAGGGGCATAGAACCCCATCTTCTGGCTCTTGGCTACAGCTTCCCAGATGGCATTTTGCTTATAATCGTATTATGTCCGAGTTTAATTTAATCTGCTTTTGGCTAAATAAGTTTTACTATTGATCTCTGTCACATAGCTTTATAAATGACGAGAAATTGCATATGCTCCAGGACGACCTTCCTTAAACCATTGATACTGAACTGATGTTGCCTAACCTACTGTCACCAGAGTCAGCAGGAGGACTTTCTAGCCATGGCTTCTCAGTGTGCACTCCCTTTCCATAGGCATATCACTTATTCAAAAAGCTTGTCCTCAGTATCAAGTAAGGAACAGGATTTGGGACAATTGTTGATAGAAAATCATACAATCAAACTCACTGCTAAGGAAATATAAGTATGTTGAAGATACAAAAACTAGTTTTATAGAGCACTCCCCTTGAATATTCAGGTCGCTTATTCTAATCAAATGAGTAATTAGAAAAATATAGAATAATTTTATGCTTATTGTGGAAAGATTAAAAAGCAGTTAAGATCTTGGCAATGAAAAACAATTCTTTAAATTTTTAAAATTTTCTACATATGCATATATATAAAGAAGAGCCATCACTCTTCCCTCCCTCCCCCCACTTCCTGAACTTTAAAGAAAAAGTAACGATGATAAATCTCTAGAGTGGGACTGGGGAACCTTTTTTCTGCCAGGTACCATTTGGGTATTTATAACATCATTCCCAGGCCATACAAAATTATCAACTTAAAAAATTAGTGTGGTATATTTGGTCATACATTTAATTAATTCACTCCTAATGCCTTGGCAGGGACAGACCAAATGATTTCTCAGGCCTTTTATGCCCCGTGGGCCAGATGTTCCCCACCCCTGTGAATCTAGAACATAGTCACTTTTCTGGGATTCTTCTCTTGAAAATGGACATTTGGTTTCTCAAAACATATACCAGGGCGTGTATGGCTCCCAACTGTGCTAAGTAGGTGAGAGGCTGAGATCCTAAAATGTTTATCTTCAACCTTCCCCAGTCTGTGGTCTGTCTTTGGATCCACAGTTGCCTGAACAGCTACTGTGGCTTCATTAATTTTTGTCTGTGGCTCTCTGAGCTCTTCTGTACGCAGCAATCACAGCATTTGAGCAGCTTTATTAAGAACTGCATCTCCTGTGTCCAAACCAAGAATATGCTTTTCTAAAGCAACAGGCAATTCCTCTTTAGTTTCACTTGCTTTAGCAACTGCATCCTGTGTTAGGTGCTCTTGGACCAAAATGAGAATTGTCTTAAGCATTGCTAGGTAATCGTGACGCTGAATCTGAAGAAGGCTAGCCAAAGCCATAACACCAGCCTTAAAATCAGGATTCTTTTTTTCTTTTTTAATAAATTCTTTTAATCTTTTTTTTTTTTCATTTTAAAATCCAGATTCTGTACATCCAGATTGATCAATGGCTCTGCATTCTTAACTGCATTGTCAGCATTTGTTTGTATTATCAAGTACTGAATCCTTGCATTTTTCATCATTATCTCCATATTCAAGTCTAACAGCTAAACCAAGAAGCCAGCCAATTGCTTCTTGTCAATCTGGAATCTTGGACAGTTACCATCTGTGAGATACTTTGCAATTGAAGCTGGCTGGGTTGTGGTAGTCGAGGGCCATCAGCTTGATCAGAACATGGTCCAGGCATCTCACTCTGGTTGTCTCTCCCCTCCCCGCCGGGAGGGGGGTTTTGGTGGAAAAAGAGAGGCAAGGACCATCTTTGTTGAAATCTTTAATAAGCCATAATAATAAAAGCATAATATGCTAATTAGACGGGATGGCCAAACAACCTTCCGGATGACCTTCCGGATGAAGCTGGGGCTGCGAGGGCTGAGCTCCTTGCACGAATTTCATGCATTGGGCCTCTAGTTTCTAAATAAAGTTTTCACTACTATAAAACTTTATTTTCTCCTGTGTTGTAAAATGAAATCACATATATTGCTTATGTTATAACTAGAGGCCCGGTGCACAAAAATTTGTGCACTGGCCGGGGGGGTGGGGGGGTGTCCCTCAGCCCGACTTGCGCCCTCTCACAGTCTGGGACCCCTCGGGAGATAACCACCTGCTGGCTTAGGCCCGCTCCCCAGGTGGCAGATGGCAGGCCAGGATCCCGTGCTGGGTCGCAGACTGCCGCCGCCCCCCTGGGTCGCACACGGCAGGCCTGGATGGTGGATGGCAGTGGGGTAGGCGGCGGATTGTGCTGTCCTGCCCCACCTGCAGTATGCAAATTTTTTTTTTCTGTTCATCAGATTATTTATTAACTTCATTCTTAGATTCACTTGTTGATAGATGCATACTTGTTGTTCATAATTAGTATCTTTACCTTTTTCTTCTTGTTCCTCTTCTTAAAGGATACCTTTCAGCATTTCATATAATATTGATTTGGTGGTGATGAACTCCTTTAGCTTTTTCTTATCTGTGAAGCTCTTTATCTGGCCTTCAATTCTAAATGATAGCTTTGCTGGGTAGAGTAATCTTGGTTGTAG